TCTCAAAATATATATAGAATATAATTCTTTCAAAGCATAACCAAACTTTTTTTTTTTATATCCAATTTCTAATTTTTGTGGCGTTTCAATAAATATTATCACATTTCAAATGCTATCAAGAACACAATATAATATAGCAACTGATAAATAGTCGTTTAACTTGTGTTCAATGTTGACTAAGCTACTTTCTCGATGACATTTGAAGGTACATACTCAAAGATATACCATATAGCATGTGCAGTGATATAATAAAAAAATTGAAATTACTTGAAAATACCCCAACATTAAATACCTTTCTCGTGGCTAATTCAAAATTTTCTGCCAATAAACACTAATGTACGTGACCATATGCTCTATAATATTTTTCCATTTAGCTGGGAATATATTAATTGAAAAATCAGTTGTATATAAATTAGAACATTCATGCGGAGGTTCTGTTAAGCAATTTCATAATTGGAATATTAAAGACTTATGCACATGATTTCGCTAGCAGTTCATATTCTTAATGATTTTGACTTCTTGGGACCTTAATGAAGACGTGTGTAATCTTCCAACATGACATGTAAACTGTTGAGATATATAGTCCCACATTGATTAGATGGGCAACTAATATGGTCTTTATAAGGCCTTGGGCACTCTCACCCCTTGAGCTAGCTTTTGGGGTGATGACCTCAAGGTTCTTTACATGGTATCAGAGCCTCACCGTTCCCGCTTTAAAAAGTGGAATTAAAAATAAAAATAAAAAAAAAGCACAAAAAGGTAAACCAAAAATGGGCCTGTGCAATTTCCACGCTTCTAGCCTAAATGGCTCTTGCGTGAGGGGGCGTGTTGAGATATATAGTCCCACATTGATTGGATGGGCAACTAATATGATCTTTATAAAGCCTTGGACACTCTCACTCCTTGAGCTAGCTTTTGGGGTGGTGTATCCCAAGGTTCTTTACATAAACAAAACGATGACTTTTTTTGTTTTCTTTTTTGAGAATTTATACGTGATCTCCCAAATATGCAAGTATGTTGAACTTCTACCTGAAATTAAATATCTGGCGATCCACACCAAAAAAATAAAATAAAAAAAATCTGGCGATTATAATTAAATTGGTGAATAGGTACCTAATAAAAGGTCAAACACGTGCCCGAGAGCAGCTTAATTATTGGTTATGCATAATTGCATGTTATATCAACTTGTTTTAATTTCAACTTTCTTGTTTATTCCCCTAAGTTACATAATGTATCTATATTCAACAAGTCTGAGAAAACACCATGCCCCTATCTTCTTAAGGAATTGTTAATTATGTGGGTGATACAAGTGGTTGTCAAATTTGGTTTATTTAAACTTAATCGATAATTGCAAACAAAAATGATAATTAATTGTTTTGTACAATCTTATAGGTTGCTGCTTTCTCTCATTAATTAAACACCACCACATACAAATACTTTTGGTATTACAGTCATTACTCATCAGTACTAGCCTAGGAAAAGTTAAACTCACTTTAAATAATTCATATAATATATATATTTTTTGTCCAATATGTTTTTATGCTAAGATTGAGGATTGTTTTACCAAACAAATGCTTTTGACATAAAAACATTATTTATTTAATTCATTTTTAAAAAAAAATTTCAAACTAATGTGATTAATCCTGCACATTAATCATATGAGATAAGTTTCGCATGTGAAAGATGCGAGATTATTGTCGGCGTGTAAGTCCAGCACGATGACCATGTGAGTAGTAGCGGAGCCAGAGAAAAAAATCAGATAATGCTAAAAGATCCAGCCAGGTAGAATCAGGTGGTCAATGTTGTATTATTTTTTACAATCCAACTAATATAAAGGCTATATAATTTTTTTTTAAAAATCTATACCATTTTAAAAAATTAGGTGGTGCTAAGGCAACACTTACCTCCCAAGTGGCTCCACCACTGCATGCGAGACTCTTTAAATACCGCACATTGTTCGTACTGGACTTAACGCTAGCATATAAGTCACTCGCTTGCCATAAAGTCCTATATATTTGCCATGCGGGACTGACATGCTGGCTTTAAGTCCCGTACTTATAGTCAACATGTGAGACTTAAAAAAGTCTTACAGACACATTGTCAATGTAGGGGATTGTCACAGTGACATTAAGTCCTGCATCATTGACGTTCAGATTGACCACATTAGTTTGAAATAATTTTTGATAAAAAGTATTTCTTTTCTTTTTTTTAAAAAAAGCAATTGGTTTGGTGAAAAAAACCTAAGATTAAGAGATTCATAAAAAATATATTATATATATATATATATATATATATATATATATATATATATATTCATCAACATATATCGCAGCTGTATATTATAAGTAGTTAATACATTCAATAATGAAAATAATAATATAATTTCAACAAGAATGAAATAATATTTTTGTTTTTCTATTTTTACTTATTTTGTGGGTAGCTTTTGAATATTTTGGGAATTAGTGAGTTTAGACTGAATTGTTGTAAAATGTAATTTTCCACTTTATTAGTTCATTAATTTTAAATAATGATTTTCCATTTTACTTCCTAACAACATGTATTTTATAAACAATTAAAAACTATCAAAAAATTTAAAAAATATATTTTCCATTAAATTACCATATATTTTATCCCTAAAAAACAACTTATAGGAATAAGGTAGAAAATTTTATGTTGTAAAGAAATTACAAAAATTAAGATATGGTAATAAATTACATACACAAGATGATAATGGTAATATATAATGGATTATCTATAAGTAAGTCTTCTTCATTATAATCTCCTATAGTACTCTTTTTTGTGTGGCATGCACTACTTCTGTTTAGCACCTTTTTAACACTCTTGAAATATTAACTACTTTCAAATTTATTTTTTTACTTATTTCTTCTAAAATTTCATCTGTTGATACTGTCAAAATAACAAATAAATATATCCAATGTGTTGCACGGGTATTTTAAGTTTAGGTAAAATTTAAAAACTTATAAATTAAATTAATATTTGTAAAAAATGTTTAAATTATAAAGGATGTAATGCGTATTCAATTATGGTATAATAAAAAAATAGATTAAAAGAGGAAAATAAAAGGATTAAAAAAATATGCATAATAATCAAATAAAGAAATTTAAAATTTTAAAAAAGAGAAATTAAGAAGGACATGTGTTATTTTATGAGTAGATTAAAAGATCAAATTTTAATATAAAAAAACATTTAAAAGTATAAGTAATTGAGAGAAGAAAGAAAAAAATTCTAATTTAAAATGAAAACTTTTAAAATAATTAATAATTTGATAGATTTTGAAAAACATTAAAAAAAACTAAACTTAACTTCAGTAAAACCACATGTCTTTAAGGAAGAACATGATACAATAAGAAATTTTTCTTAAATTTTCCTTTCATGTTGAATTTTTTTCTTTTCTCCCCAAATCTCGTTGTTTATTTATACTCTCATATCAAACCTTTTCAAATTTGTACTTTTACATTAAAACTTGTTTTCCTTCTCTCTAATTTTTAATTGCTCCATCCTTATGTATTAAATTAGATTGTATTATATCGAGTCGACAGTATTGGCAGAACCTTCGAAATTATTTCACTTTTAAAATTACACATGTTATTCTTAATTTATTTTTTTTAATAAAATTACACATAGTTTATTTATAATTTTAAATTGTTTTAATTTATATTTTTAAAATATGTCTGAATTAACCATGCATACATCCTTTACAATTTAGAATTTCTTTGAAATATTTTCTTTTAATTCATACTTTTTAAATCTTGTTTAAATTTAAAATACTCATGTAATTAATGCATAAAATACTTGTTAATATTATCAAAAGCTGAAACTAAAAGTTGGCATTTGTCATATTTTTGGGGATCCGGGTTATTAATTGTTTTTTTGGGGATCCGGGTTATTAAATTTGAAGTGAACTCATGGGTTGAAGTTTTGAAGGAGAAGTTATTAGTATAAAAGGGTGAGGTTTTTTTTTTTTTTTTTTTTTTTCTTCTTCCTTAAACTTTTACAGTTGAAGAATATTGGATTAGAAACCATAAGACATAATTTGAAAGAGAATGAAAGGGAAAGCAGTTTATACATACACATACATATATTACATTGAGAGAAGAAGTAGGGTGGCCTGCAGAGAGAGAGAGAGAGAGAGAGAGAGAGAGAGGTATCTGTTCTCATTCTCTCAGCTAATTGCCTTTCCTTAGGGCTAGGAGGGACCATCATCACACAGAACACAGCACACAATCAATGGCACCACAAGTCAAAAAAAAAAAAAAAAAACCAAAACAAAACAAAACAAACACACACACACAAAAGAACCTAATAACATATGGTGCATTCTCTCTCCTCTACTACACCGTTGGCATTGCATCCCCTCTCTACTTCTGTTCTGTATTATAACAACTAGTCATAGATATTGTTTCCATTTTTTTATATATATTTAATTAATAATTTTATTTTTTCATATTAAAATAAGAGAGAAGTTATACTTATTTTTTTTTTTCTTCTTACTAGCTGTTATTATAAATTTTATAAACGTTGGATCAAAATCAAATTGATTTTCGTTTAATGTTAGTCTGTAACGGTTGATTTGATTTTAATCTAATGATAACAAAATTGATAATAAAAAATAATTATGGTAAATATCACCTAACAACGGTGGAGATTTAACAGAGTGAAGCTTATTGTTTCTTGAACAACTGGCCTTTCGGTTTGGAACCAGAAGCATAAATATACTGGGTTTTAATTTGTCCTTTAAATTTTCCTACACACATAATATTTTATGAGCTCACACTTTTTAAAGCAAAAAAAAACTATGACACACAAAATGAATCTCTATAACATTACACAATCACTTTTTCTACAACATAACTCTTATAAAACCCTAAATATATATATATATATACATAGTGTACAGATTATTATCCTAAATATTATGAAAAGGACTAGTTGCTCACATGACCCCATTAAGCACATTATTCAATGGGTCCCCCACGTAAGTGTAGTAACCCTCTTCTCTTCTCTCTCTCTCTCTTTTCTAATCTTAAGAATAAAACTGGGTTGGAACAAACGTTTTTGCTTCTTTTTTCCTACTTGAAAAGAAGCTTCCTGTGAGGTAACTATACTTGTTTAGCTAAAACTCACATCAACTTCCCCTTCTTCATCTCTCTCTCTCTCTCTCTCTCTCTCTCTCTCTCTCTCTCTCTCTCTCTCTCTCTCTTTGACTCTTCATGTTATGCTTTTGTAGGTCAACAATAACCACAACTTGACCCAGTTTTGATTCCTCCATGGCTTGTCTTTAGGGTTTGAAGCCTCAAGAGTCAAATATGAAGGCACCGACTCTTACAATTCTCTTGTGCTAAGAACCTGCTTTTCTTAGTTTTCCTTTACAGCCTCAAAAATCTGGGTCGTGAAATATCTTCCTCAAAATATTTCTTGGTAATTTTTTATTTAAAAAAAAAATCTTTTTTTTTTCAGACCCACTTTCTCTAAATTCTCCATTTTTATTTTTTGTCAAATTTAATTTCGTTCTTTATTTATTTTATTATTTATTTTCCCCCACCCCCACTTCCTTTCTCCACTGGCTCTTCCTTTCATTCTAATTATTTCAATTTTTTTTGTTTTGTTTTGTTTTCTTTATGTTATTCTTTGGGTGACATTGTTTAATTTTCTGAGATCCAGAGGTTACAATTAGCAGAATCCGAGGTGGGAATACTCACTACTCTATAATTTCATGGAGTTGATGCAAGAAGTGAAAGGGTATTCTGATAGCAGAGAAGAAGAAGAGGAAGAGGAAACAGCAGAAGAGATTATAACAAGAGAAGAAAGCAGTGGCAGTAAGCACAACTACCCCTTTTCTTCACCCTCTTTCTCTTCTTCTCCTTCATTAACAAATTATACATTACATCCTCATCATCATCATCATCCAGAGGAGGGTATCACTGCTATTGAATCTCACAATTCATCATCTGGGCTAGGGTTATTACACCAGCACCAAGATGTAGCAGCTTCTTCCAATTTCACCAATAGTCACACAAAGCAGCTAGACTTCATGGAGTTATCACTTGGGAACAATAACAACAAAGATGTTAGTGATGAAGCCAATTTCCAAGGATCAGGAGGAGTTGTTCCACCTCCTAATCCTGCTGGTTATGGCCATGCAAGTGCTGGTTCTTCTTCTTCTTCCAACAACAACAACCATCCAACTGAGAAAGAGCACATGTTTGATAAAGTTGTGACACCAAGTGATGTAGGGAAGCTGAACCGTTTGGTGATACCAAAACAGCATGCTGAGAAGTATTTCCCTCTTGATTCCTCAACAAATGAGAAAGGTTTGCTCCTCAATTTTGAAGACAGGAATGGAAAGTTGTGGAGGTTCAGGTACTCATATTGGAACAGTAGCCAGAGCTATGTGATGACCAAAGGATGGAGCCGTTTTGTTAAGGAGAAGAAGCTTGATGCTGGTGATGTTGTGTCGTTTCAGCGTGGTGTTGGGGAATTGTATAGGCATAGGTTGTTCATAGATTGGAGGAGAAGACCTGATCATGGCCCTGATCCATCAACAACACTCTTCACACCTTTCTTTCTTCCAAATCAGCCACACTTGTCACAGTACTCTATTAGATGGGGTGGAACTGGAAGATTGTACTCCTTGCCTTCACCACAGGCACCAAGGAACCATAACCATTTGCAGCAGCAGCTCAATTACAACAACAATATGTATCCCTTTCAGCATCAACAACAGCACCACCATGGTGGTGGAACTCCTCACTACAACAACTACAATGAACTGAGTTCAGGATCTGGCTCGGTCTATTACTTGAGGTCAACCCCATCAATGCCAAGGGGTGATCAAAGCTTGACAAGGCAACGACAACAAGAGGGAGGGAATATTTCCCCCATGATCATTGATTCTGTTCCTGTTGCTCACCATCATCAGCAGCATCATCATCATCATCACCATGGTGTTAAGAGTGGTTCAAGTAGTAGTAGTAGTAAACGGCTAAGGCTATTTGGGGTGAACATGGAATGTGCTTCTTCTTCTTCTTCTTCTTCACCATCAGAAGACCCCAAATGTTGCAGCTTATTGTCCTCAACTTCGGTAGCACATGTGACAATGGCTAATTCACTTCCCTCTTCTTCTCTACCACCTCTTCAGCTTTTGAGGGTACCCCATGAAGACACACTACTCTCACCATCAACAAGGTTTGGAGATCAAAGAGGGGAAGCTTCAATGCTTTTTGATTTGGACCCTTCTTTGCAATACCGGCAGTGATTGAAACAAATTCAGGAGACAAATAATGAAGAAGATACGAGTTCTAAAGTTACCTGGGCTAGAGCTACACTCTCTTTTGCAGCATTTTTAATTTTTAATTTTTTTCTTTCTTTCTCTTTTTGGTTTCTTTCATCAGCTACAAAGGAAAGAGCTACTAGACTTTCTTCTTCTTCTTCTTCTGATCAGTAATTAGTGTTTAGCTTTTGAACTTATAGTAAGTTTAGAAGTGCTCTCGATGAATTAATTAGCTGGGGATTTGGGTCCTGATGAAGAAATGGAACATCATGAAATCCAAGGAGATCAATTACGTTTAGACCTTTCAATTGTGTATAATACAATACAAATTTATATATATATATATTTATTGCTTCAATACTGTGCTCTCTCTCTCTCTCTTTCCGTTTGCAGCATTTAATGATACACAGAAAAGCTTGTTGCTTTCTTCTTTCCTCTAATGTTTCTGTTAGCATTGTTGGGTTGATGTCGATCACAACACTGCTGCTTCTGCTTCTGCTTCTGCTTCTTCTGCTTAGTTATGCATTTTGGCTTTGCAGATAAAGCGCAGAAAGTTGTACAGCTGTAAAAGGGTAAATTTTTCTGTTCTTATTCCAACTCAGTCCATTTTGATTGCTCTTTCTACTTGCTATGCTATTCTTACCATATATCATTTATTGATTGTCTATGACTTGATAACCCCTCTCTCTCTCTCTCTCTCTCTTCATTGTTACTTTTGTTTTTATTTTCATTTTTTTTGTAATATATACTTTCTTGACTTCTCTTATTCAGCAGCCGCCTTCTTGTCTGGATTGTCACTGCACACAAACGTGTTTTTTGGCAAATAAAAAGTGGGGCTTTTCCCCCCATTTTTCTCAAGGCTTTTAGAGTAAGTAACCAAACTCTAATTAATGCTTATCTCTGATATATGGTTATCTTGATTTGAGAGATACACTTTATTTAACTTTTAGACTTCAATTATTTTTTTACTTTATGGTTTTAGATTCCTCATGTGGTGTTTAATTAGTCTTCATCACAGTCTTGTTACTGTTGAAAGTTGAAAACTCACTGGATATTTATAAGCCTTCTTTGGATTTGTCACAGTCATTGCAATAATTATTATAGCTGATCAGACTTTTGGACATTGAATCAAGGAGCTTTACTTTGGTGATCGAGGTGATCAGTTATCAGCTTATATATTTTTTCTTTTTTTCTGTGAAACCTAACAACATATAGTGGATATAAAATGTGGGATACTGTAATTAGAAAGTGAAACTTTTCCTTTTGTAAAAATTGTCATTTTGATTCATACAAAATGTATGTAGTGTGCAGTGTGCACTACTTGAGTTGGTTGATAAATATAATTAGAGGAACAATAATATTACTTTGAAATTATCTTGTTGATTAGTATGAACTGGATAAAGAAAATTTTCTTACACATCAATGCACTTTGTTTTTAGGTTTACATGACACACAAACTTTTCAATATTCTTATTTATTTGGTGGAAATAGATTAATAGAAATCCAAGAATCACTCAGGATAGAATATTAGACTCACATTCAATGCAAAAATACTGTTGATAGCATAAAAAGGAGATATCAAATAGAATGTTATATATGTTCTCACGGTGTGACTATGGGGGGAAAGCAAAAGAAGCATATATATAGAGGACATTATAAGATCAACAGTAAGCGAGACAAGACATAGATAAGAGCAGGACTTTTTTCTTTGCTACACAGACTTGAATGTGATGCTTTTCTGTTAAAATAATAGTAAGTATCTTGGATCCACGGGTAAAGTCAATTTCCATGAGCTCACCTCGAAAGTCTTGGAAGAATCCTCTTGACTGCTGGAAAATAAAGAATGAAAGAGACTAGAAATGGAACTTTTTCTTTTTTTGGGATGATCAAGTTTAAATGCTTGGAACCCGACAAGGCCAGAAAAAAGATAGTTAAGATCAAATAAAGCAAAAATAAAACAGAAATATGTTATATCTACAACATATTTTTTCTTATATTTTATTGGGATAGGATATTGTGACACACAAATAATGTTATGCACAATGTTACGACCACATCTAAACCGTTGATTTCCGCCAATCAACGGTTATCATTTATTGCGAATTAATAATTAATTAATGAGTTTGATTTGAAAAATGATAATCGTTGATTGACGGAAATCAACGGTTAAGATGTGGTCGTAACATTATGGGTAACATTATTTTCTTACAATTACTTTTATAGTTGTTGAATCTAAATTAATCAAATCAATATCTCATACTTAATATCTTTTTATAACCGTTGATTGGATTTTCATCAAAGGTGGTTGTAAGGGGAGAAAATAGGTTGTAAATATAATGTCTCTCAAAATAAAAATAATAATAAGATTCAAAATCATTTCTCTCTTTTTTTTCTTTAATTTTTGTTGTATTATATTTTCCTATGATCAGGCGTTGTTAATTTAGAAGTTATGATCTTGCTTATCCAAGTTATTCAAGGAAATTAATTGGCATTCAAGCGGATTCGGGACACAAACAGATTAACGTTTAAGTCATACATTTAACAATATAAAGGAGTTTTTTTTTTCTTTTTATCATGTTTTATTTTGCAAGGAGAATTCAAGATTTTGGTTTATGCTTCATAAATACATGCATGAAATATTATATATGTCGCTAATTATGATTTAAGTTGCACTTATTAATTAATTAAAGTTAGCCATAATTTCATGGGATTAATTCTACCGAAGTATTAGGCTTCATGTTTAATTATAAATAATATAATGGGATTTATACATATATCATGAAAATTGTTTTTTGGCAAGTGAAGGTTGTCATTGTTTTGCAAATTGTATGAAAGGGAATGTTTGTTATTTATATGGTGGTATTGATACTAATGTTAATTAGTTCTATGCACTTTTAATTTATAAGCTAGTTAATTAATTTTATGCTAATTATGGGTGTTTTATGCAGAAGGGGAAAAGTAGAATAAGTACCAAATCAGACCTTATGATATAAAGATTAAAGATCAGACAGTTGTCATTTCAGTGAGATTTTAGGAATATTTAACCAAGGTACATTTTATTTCTGAATATTTGGGATTTTTCATCTACGGAACATGCTGCATATTCAGTCACTGGAATTTTGGGATTCTAAAACATGTATGTACAATGCATGCATAGACGATATTAAAATTTATGGTAAAAATCATCACCTAATAAAACTTAGTTTAATATGGATTTTTAGTAAATAATTTTTTAAATTGTTAACTACAAAAACTATGTAGTTTTTATGAAGTATTAAATATGTAACTTCACAAAAAATTTGCCGGTAGCTGATAGAAAAACTAAAGATTAGAAGTTATCTCTATCAAAGGAAAAAAAAAATTAAAAAAATAAATTCCAAGATTATATTATCTTTTTATTTATGATAAATATTTTTTAAAAAATGTCTTTACATGCATTATTATAAAATAAATTCTTTGAATATTGTCGCATTGGTGATATTTTTTTTTGTGAAACATTTTTTCTCCAATTTTAAACTTTGTTCTTATCAAAGTGTAACTTATGTGCACCTGATCCTGTTAATTTTTTTATTTACAAGATAGACTCATAATTAAAAAAATTATATCTTTCTAATATAATTATGTAAACTTGTTGCTATATGTAAATAATGGTAGGTTGTATTTACAAATTTTTTATTTACAAACTACACTATGTATTTATGTTCCCTGTAATACATTTCTAGCCGAGTCTATTCCCCGAAATGTTTAGTTGAGTTTGTAAAGAAAAAAATTGTAAATATAACATTTTTTATGTAAATAACACGTTATTTCTATCTGTATTTAAGGTGTCTTTTACTATTGTATTTTGGACCTTTTCATCCTTATAATGACTCTATTGATTTGATCTTTTTAAATAAATAGTTTAAGTTATTTAAAAAATAAGAAATATTCATCAGTAATAGGAAAAAATTATAGAATTAATTTTAAGGTTTAATATCTCTTATGCTGTAAGAAATAATTTTATCTCCTATACACACTAAAAGTGTGTGGTAAATGATAAGGTTATAATTTATTATGTATATGTATATATTTTGTCGTAATTAATAGCAACAGGTAATTTCTTTTAATTATAAATACAAACATTTCTATTTTTGTTTCCTATAAAAGAAATTAAATCCTACAATTAAAAGAAGAGAGGAATCAAATTCTCCTTTCAATTTGTATTAAGAATATTATTTATAACCAAAATATATAAAAGGTATGAACTAGGGGGAAAAACTTTGTTTTCATTTTACATAGATTCATGATATTAAAATTTACAAGTTACTTTCTACCCAACTTTGGGATAAAAATATCAAACAATTAGAAATTCATAATTAACGAAAAAGGGGAAAACAAAACCTATGATTATTCTAAAGATAAGTTAGTGATGAACTTTAAAGGTAATATTCAGTCAAAATTGAAAAAATAAAAATAAAAATTACAGTACTATATCTTACACGTGAAATAGACAGATATGAAAAAAATAAATTATGGTGAACTTCAATACGCAATGATTTTCAGTATAAATTACCATAGAAAATTATCCATTTTTTGTGATTATTTATTTTCTTGAGCATGTATTAGCATAGTTATTTGTCTCATTACAGTGTTCGCCGGCCATTCTTTGCAGTTAAAATCGATCCATCATTTTCTGCAAACCTCCATTCTTAAGCAAGACAAGAATATTAGGATATTAAAAAAAAATTAAAATTGGAGTACATAAAAAAAATGTACCGCGAACATTTTGTTTTTTCTAACATGTAAGGCTTTATATATGTTGACGGATGCTAATATTAAGAATATTAAACTTTTTTATCTCGCTATTATTATGAATATAATTTTATATGAGAAAATAATGTCCTTACAAAATTAACTGCATTGACAAAAGGTACGTAAGTTCATTAAGTTGCAAAATTATCTAGATATTTCAATAGTAAAGATACCAAAAGAAATAATTTGATTTCTGAGTGCCCAAGCTAAAAACAAGGACATAATTTACTGGTATACGCAAGCTTTACAATTTTTTATCACTATATATACATCATTTTTTTTTGGTAATATTATATACATCAATTTTAAAAGTTAACAGGTGACACCATAAAGTATTGAAAAAATTAACAAATAAATTCCCAAAAAATTAAATGCGATCCCCTGTTGAAAAAGAGAGGATAAAAAATAAAATAAAAAATAGAAAAAATATATAAATGACACTAGAAAGAAAAAAAAAAGAGAAATACATAATAGAAAAAAGAAAAAAACAATAAATAAATAAACGAGAAGAAAAATAAAGAGGAAAAATTCTTGGTAACAAACTTTTTTTTACCCAAGCATTTAGAGGTCTTCGCATTATATCAAAACCACCTCAATTTATGTTCTCTC